AGATGGTGTTTGCTCAGAGTCAGGAGCGATCCGTTGCCCACCGAAAGAAGGTGTTTAAATAATCACAAACCCGTTTGCCTTTCACAGGTTGTGCTTGAATCTCACATGTGTTGTTGGAGCCACAGTTCAACAAACAAACATTCTGCTGCTTTGAAAATTCTTAACTAAATTTGCAGAATGCGCGTATCAAAGTAATCTAAGATTCAGCTTGTGCTTCACTCAGTTGAGGAAGCACGAGTGCTGAACATCCATTGTGGTAACATTTCCTTTACTCCAGACTTATTCAAGCTGAGGTATCTTCATTTTGATGTGCGAGTTTTCTGGCTGTCATTTTGTATGCTCTCTCCAGCAACAATGGTCACACCACTGGAGACAAACGAGCTCAAGGGCAACCTCAGATGAGAGATCTAACTGCTAAAGGCATGCACACATGCAAAACACAGAGAGATTGCACTCAGGTATTTCAGCGTAACCTCATTCATATGAGAGTCCGGAGCGAGTCAGTGGTGATAATTGTACTATTGAAGGGTCTATTGTAGATTTATTCAACGTTTTCTGAACTCAGGCAAATGTTTTTCTGGACATGCTTTGTCAGAATTAGGTCTAGGAAAATTGCAATTGGTGCAGTTGTGTTGTACTTGGATGACTGCAACAACTCTCCAACCTCTCAGTCTGCTTTACAGACTGTGTAAGAGTACAGGAAGAAAGCTGCTTTCAGACAGGACATCAAGTTTTACTTGTTCTCATGGGATAAAAAGCTCACAGCTATTATTCTTTTTAGGGTGAAAACACAGACTAGGCGTAACAGCATTAAATATTAATTTCGATTCATCTTAAATCTTCATCCATTTTCTGTTGCCAGGAACAGAAACATGACACCCAGTTCAACTTGGTAATGTTTCCTTTGTTATTTTTTATGATTTATTATTGACATTTCTAATTGGATTTTCACAATGTGTCACGGTGGTGCCCTGGTTGAGGTTTTTTCGTCTCGTCTTTTTGTCGTCTCGTCATTTCCTGTTTTATTTTGAAGACTAACCCTCATCTCGTTTCAGGTCACTTGCACTTCCTGTTGTGTCACCAGTCCGATCGTCTCCCTGATTACCTATTGTGTTCACCTGGTGCCCCTTCCTTCATGTGTTTAAATAGTCTTCGTCTCCCCTTGTCCTGTGCCAGAGAATTACGTTTGTCTCCTGTGCCCACGTTCCATAGCAATCTCCAGTCATAGTCCCTGAGTCCTAGCTTCCTAGCCCTGTTTTCAGTCCCCGTCCTTGAGCCCCGTTTTTGCCTCGCTTCCGAGTGATTTTGAGTTTGGTTCTCCTAGCCCTGTTCTAGTGAGTATTCTTTTGTTACTTTGTTTTTTTCCACGTCCTCTGCTAGAGTGATTTTTTGTTGTTACTTTGCCGACCTGCTTGTACTTTGTTCCTGCCTCTACGGAGAGATTTTTGTTGTTACTTTTTGCCTCCTTTCGGAGCGCCTGCCGTACCACTCCGTTGGAGTGCGTTTTTTGTGTTTAATAAAACCTTTGGAACCAGCTCTGCATCTGAGTCCTCGCTCAGCCGAACCGGTCGTGACACAATGTAAAGGCTGGAAATCCAACATTTTAACAAAGGATGAATAATGTATTGAAAACTTGAAAGCTCTATGAAAATGCCTTAATTATCTTTAAAAAAAGAATATAAAAATACAAACTAAAATGGATATACAAAAAGAATGTTGTAAATAAATGAAGACGGTCAAAAATCACGCTTAGTTTTGCCTTTGGTTTCTTTTCATTTGTTTGATGTTCAACCGTGATGCAACTTCCTGTTCATTTTAATAATCTAAACCTAAATGGCTTTTAACATGTGCTTCACCATAAGATGTGGGTGTAAGATGTAAGTGAACATCTCCCAACCATTTCAAAAGATGCTTTTCACCACCAGTTTTAAACTTTACAGCACTGACTCCAACCTAGGAACTCTTTCCATCTGATTTCAAGAAACAGCATTAATTTATCTGTAAGCTTTAAGGCACTAAAATCAAGACATTCTAATCAGCTACAACATTGGGACCCCTTATTTTGATTAGATGCTCACTGTAAGTTTTGGTTTGTCGTTATGTTAAGAACATTTAAGGATTTCCTGATTTGTCTGGTACTGACAACGTATTTTTTGGCCACTGAAGGTTGTTGGGTCCATGTGGATTGAAGTCTCCTCTAGCTGATATTTGAAGAAGTTTGCATGCTAGGCGAATTCCTCCAACTCTTATATATTTCTTTTGGTCTTTCCTAAGCAGGTTCTTGCAGTTCTTGCTGTCCCAGCACAACAGCAGTTGATATGTGGGAGTGGGAGGGGTCTGGAAAAGCAGGTGGAGAATTAGATATTTGTGTGTATAATACGCTGCATTATTAGTGATCGGCAACCAGATTGACATCAATACATGAAAAGGAAAAGCTGGTTTCCATGTTGCCTTCTGCTGCTGATTTACTCTTCTGATAGATTTGTGTTGCCAAACAGTTTAAAAAGAAAAGAAACAATTAAATTGAAATAATCGTTCTATGGTTATTAGAATGGCATTCCTAATGTTAATGAATATTTAAGTCTGAGTCTATTGTCAGTCATTTCACATCAGTGGTAGATTCGCTGCTCTCATTATTCCTCATTTACATTTGTCAGACTTTTCTTTCATAAAAAATGGTTCATATTTATTCAAACCAATGTAATTATTTTTACTATTGGGAATAAAACCTGGTGTACTCCTAATGTCGGCCATAGTTTAAAACTAGCTGCTGAACACATTAAGAGATTCTGCAGCTTATGAGTCTATAATTCCCCTCAGAAATTAGTTATGACTTAAAACAATTCTAACCACACCAATAATTGCGTTATATATCAATAGAAATTAAATTTCTCCCTTGTAGAGTTTTTTTCTGACAGAGTATCCAAAGTCAATTTAAAGTGTGATGAAGTTGCATTTTTAAATCCTGTTTAACTTGTGCCAGAGTATGTTTCTGCTGCATATTAGCCGCTTGTAATGGCCTCAGAGTATGCTACTTTTTACATTACATGTTAATGTGATGCTGCACAGTTTATAGAATCAATCAAGACCTAAGTGGATATTGCCTAGCAACACAACCTCTGTCCTTTGCATCTTCAGCCTCAACTTTTTATGGATACATGTTCAAACAAGTCAGTCTGTGAGCCCCCACGCCCTTATTCGTGCCACATTTGTATATGATTAGTGTAATGACTGTAATTAATCAGAGGCTCAGTGTGGGTCTGTCAGAGGTGTTGGGGGGGGAGGACGGCTGTTCTCATTTTAGAGTGCTTTTTAGTGCTCTGTTCTCTTTAATGACCCTAGCAGGGGACCAGAGGAGAGCAGGCTTTGCAATGCAAACCATTCCTCATGTCTTTCTGTGTCCTAATGGTAATGATACAGCTGTCCCCATGCACCTGAGATCCACTGGCACATCCCCCACTCGTTTGTCCATTAAAGGAGGGGACGTAAAAAAGAATTGGGATAAGAAAGCCGTATCCAAACAAGATTCAAACCCAGACGCAGTTCCTGGTGTGTGTCAATGCGAGTGTGAAATTCGGGAAGCGCCAGAGCAAATTAGAAACATGTCCAAGATGTCTTCCATTCTATAATTTATAAGTTTGGTCGTCCATTAGTGTTGCAGCTCAGAGCTTCGGAATACTCTCATCCGGCAAAAGAAACAAAACTGCATCTGCAATGCTTTAGGCTCAACGGCTTCACTTCAGATCCCGTCTTGATATTTGCTGCTGCAGGATCCCAAAAGCTGCTGGTTTATCTGTGTGCACATCAAGGGGTGACTCATCCACCTGAGAGGGATCTCTGCCGGGGCTCCGTGAGAGGCCATGTGCGTGCGTGGACGGTGCGGGTTTGAATTTGGTTTGTGTTTATTTGTATGACCTTGAGCAGCGCTCGAAGCTTACTGAGCTGATTTTGAGCAGAAGCGGTGAAGACAAGCTGACAGACTAAATGCAGCAATACAGACGGGGCTTACCATCGCAGAGCTGTTGGCAGGTAGAGCGAGCTGTCTGTCATTACCGGAGCCGTGAGCTGTGTGCAAATGTGTTGCAGCAGTCTACTAATGCACTTGAAGAGGATTTTTTTCTTTTTTTTTCTTTAAACTTGTTTTACTGAGTGTCCCAACAGTGACTTTGAACTCGTGCACAATCAGCATCTCAGTTGTCACACTGCCATGAAAACACTTACAAAGGTTTCACCACCTGACTGAACATTGCAATGAACTGAGGTAAAATCATTAGATTAATTGATTCTTTTGTACTTCAGTTCACTTGGTTAGTCTCATCACACACAGGACGACAGGTGTTATGTAAAGCTAAAAAAAACAACATCCAATCAAGGTTTGAACAATTAATTCAATCATAAGGCATTGTTTTGAGCTTGTTGATTTGTTTTTAGCAGTTTGCTAAAAACATTTTTTGTGTGATTCATTAATTTATTCACTTTTCTATTTATTCTGATGCCCTTCTTTCTGAAATAAATCAATATATTATTGATAAGCAAATTTCTTTAAAAAATGCATAATTTCCACTTAATTTGTATTACATTTTAACAAATTGAATAAAGCAAAAAGTACTTCCCCCCTTTTTTTAAAAACAGAGAGCGATAAACTGCAGAATCAATCAAAGTAAGCCTAGCTTTCAGAAAAAAACAAACTTTCTTTTTCATTTCTCTTGGTGATTGCAACATTTATGCAATGCCTCTATATGTGGTGCATTAGAGAAGAACACTGCTGGTGTTTTTGGTTGAAGAAACCTCTTTTCTAGGAACACATGATGCCGACATGTTGCCTTATGCATGACATACTTTTGCATAAAAAAATGTTGTTACGTTTCACATACAGAAAAGATTATATTGAAATATTTTTTCCTTTTGCTTGAAACATTTCCTTTTTACATTTTTTATTTTATTTTCATTGGTTTCCAGATATTAACATGGCAGGAGAGCCGAAACCATACAGGCCAAAGATGGGCTCAAAGAGACCCCTCTCGTCCCTCTACAGGTCTGGAGATTCCTTTGTTGAACTACTTTGCTTGTGCACTTATTCCATGCTGTCTGGAAGATTTGTGTCCGTGATCCTGCCTTGAAGGCCAGGGTTTTATTAAGCTCATGAAGGAGCACACAATTACCTACTTGCTCTGTTCGAAACGTTTTTTTTTTTTTCTCTGTTGCTGTTACCAATCAGCTCTGTCTGTATGGTCTTGTTAGAAGCAAAGAAGAACAACAAACGTACAAAAAGTTACACAAATACCTGTTCATTACAACTTTGAAATAATGGTATGAAAAGTTTACTTTTTGCTGAGTTGAAATGAACAGCAGGAACTTTATTAACAGACTTTTAAGGAACCCGTGTATTTCCACTGCAGGAAGTAAATTATTGTGGAGATATACTTCCCATTCTTTAACCTGCCCCAAACCAAACCATTGGTACAACAATTAAAATTTTTATTTTTTTATTTTGTTAATTTGACAATTTGTAAAGCACTGGTGAGGAACCATCTCCGTTCCTCAGTGTGAGTAAGGCACCGTTAACAGTCCATTCATGGCTTATACAAAAAAAACTGTTTCGATGTCGAATACATTTTAAACCACAGATCGGTGCAAAAAAACAGACTCCCTTGAATGTAGTGAGTTCAAAAGCTGCATTGCTGTGAGATTCCTGGAATCTAACAAAGCCCGGAAACCATACTAAGTTGATTTTAAAAGGATGTGCAGTTGACATGGTTACTACAGTTTTGAGTCAGGATTATTTATATACAAGAAATCAGGAGAGGAACTGTGAAAGCAGGTGTCATGGTGTCATGGGCACGCCTGTTAGTCTCACAAATATTAAAGCACAAATTTACTGCAGATTCAATTTTGAATAGCTTCAGATCCAAACTATTCATCTAATGGCTTTGTGTCAGGTTTGAAATCTTGTGGTGTAAACCTGACCCTCACAATGGTTATCTATCAACAATTTTGGGTCAAGCCTAACACACAAGAACCCAATCACCCTTACAGTTTTGTGCAAGTTCAGGTTGTCATTTCTGTCTCGTTTGGCAGAAAAAATATCGTGCTGACCATTCCGATCGCCACTACAGGCTAAGAGTTGCTCCTCTCTCTGGTCTCATGGTCTTAAAAGTTACATTCACTCAATTTCAACTTATTACAGGACTATGTTTCAATGTTTTCAATAGACTTTTTAAAAATATTAGAATCAGTCAACATTTTAAGTTTCACCAATGACACAATACCTCCATATTACCACTCTGGAATAAGCAGTATGGACAATGGATGGATTGATGAATGCACTGAATGTTTTTAGACTGCGTATGACATTTATGTTATAGTTATCCATGTTGGACTCCTATTAGAGCAGATGTTTAATTAACCTGAGTTTTACCCCACATAAAGAAATGTGGGTTCTTCACATTAAATTATAAATAATCAGAATAACCATGCTTTCCAAATACTGAAAATATGTTCATGTGTTCACAGTGGCTACGAGTTTGACTACGACTATTACAGAGATGATTTCTACAGCAGGTATGTAAAGGGAACAAAAACACAACGGATTTTGTGGCTGCCTAACTTTTCAGTTCTTTTGTCAATCATTTCTCTCTCACCTGGTTATTTGACCTTCGCACAAATCCTTTTCTTCCTATTTCCAATCTTAAGTAAAGATGGTTTTCGAGCACAGAGGCTACGTTTCCATCCGAGGCAAAGTAACCACATTATCACAGGCATAATGAATGTCATATTGAGGCAGTTTCTGCTCCTCTCCGATGGGCTTACTAATGATGCCTTTATCCGCTGAATGTCAGATAGTCCCCTGGCTGGTCATTTGCACACGCCAATGCAGCAAATGTGTCTTGGCTCTGGCATTTTCATTGGTCTGTTTACTTCCTTCACTTTGAAGTATCCAGGAGAGTTCAATCCTTCAGCTTTGAGCTATTGTTGTTATTCTGGCAATTCAAGATAAATTAGATAACAGGGAGGAGGATTTTATTGAACGGCTGTGCCAGTGCTCCGTTCGTTCCTCTATCATTCAGACAACTTTCAGATATTCTGCTGAAAACTACCGGAAAACAACACGTCGTTGCTGCTCTCTTCATTTCCCTCATGTTTAAACATGTTTTTCTCGCCGTTGTTACTTTGGAGCATTTCTGTGTTTTCAGACTCTTTGAGTACCACGGCCGCGTGGTGCCCCCAACCCGGGCTGTGATCCCCATCAAGCGTTCACGGATAGTTGTCCCATCCACACGCAGAGCCAAGACTTCTTTTCCCATCAGGGCCTGTTCTTCGTCTTCTTCATCCTCCTGCTCATCGTCCCGAGCTCTCAACACTGGCTCCTCAATCACTGGCCCCAAACGTATGTTTATGCCATTGCCTATTGTTTTTTCATTTTGAAGCAGTTCAATTTTCCCGCTGTGCTGCAGTCAATTAAACATTCTAACATCTTAATATTGCACCCTTCAAAATCAGTGGATGTGATCTTGAAACAAAGGCATAAAAAATAGCTTCAATTGCCCGTCTTTGTTGTTGGTGTTCAACTTGTTGGTTGAACTAATGTCGACAAATATTATAAAATGCAACTTCTGATTTTCCAAAATATCAGAGCATCATCATCATCAAAGTCCTTTGACAAGAATCGAAATTCCAAAAATATTAAATGGGTTGTCAACACAAGGCAAAAAACGACTTACTGTTTGAGGCGCGACTGTGATTGTTGGATTTTCCTATGCTCAGAAATATGTGTTAGAGATTATTCATCTTAGAAAATAAGTCAATCCGATCTGTTTCTTTGTATTAGTTTTACTGCAGTCTCTTTTTATTTTAATGTATTTTTAAAGGAAAAAAGCAATAACCCCGGAGCACATTTTCTGACATTTGTTAAAGATGGTCTGACAATATCCTGCAGTTTAAATTTTGGAGATGCAGTATCCATTTAAAGTGAGAAAAATGTTCCTGTGTGCTATTGTACTTCTCACAGAAGAACTTGGAATAGGACAAAAGCATAATCAGCTGTAAAAATCTTTAAAAGAAAAACTCAAAGGGATCCCTTGCTTATATGACAAAGTGACAAAGTAAAGCTGGTTTAGCTTGGAGACTCTACCTGTGCTCAGCTGCCTTCACTACGATCAAATGTTGTGTCCCTCTGTGAAAGAATCTCACAGTCAGGGACAGAGGGGTCTCTGGTTTGGGAGCCTCAGAAACTTCAGCTTTTCTGAACAGTTTTCTTAAGAAATTAATTTCAAAGACCAAATTCTACAGCAGTAATATGTCAATCTCTGCTCATTATACAGGCAAGGTCGAAAGCAAAAATGTATGAATTGCCTATTTTGAGTAGACAATTAATGTTAGAAACTATCAATAAGTTTTAACAGTCCGTTTTTTTCATTATTGAGTTTAAGTTGGAACATTGATGGCAAGTTGTGAAGCATTTTAGGTCCAAGGAGACAAACAACTAACTGAACAATAATTAAAAAGGAACCTTGATGAATAACAACCCGAAACCAACATGGACGCCTTTCCGCGAGTGGTGGCACGACCACATTTAGAATACCGGCTGATGATGAATTTCTGAGCAGTGAAGTTAGTTCATAAAACTGTCTGACACCAGCCACCGAGTTTAAATTTATTAATGTATGCTTGCAGTGAAGACAGACCAACTCCTTACAATCAAGAAGGAGCTGTCACAGATCAAAACAAAGATCGACTCACTGCTCGGAAGGTTGGAGAAGATTGAGAGGCAACATCGATCTGATGCGGGTAAGATTTGACAGAGCACTGGGGAAGATCTGTCTCGAATGTATACACATGGGGACGAGAGAGAATAACTCACTAGGTACTGAAAGAAGACTTTTAGTCTTTGAGGGGAGAGAGCAGATATAGCTGGTATGAAAGGCACAATCCTGTTATTAAAACAAAGAAATTCATATATCGCTCCATCTAATGAGTTCTAATGTTCACTGCCACTCTTTGTCTTTTGTCAGAGATGCAGAGGAAACAGGAGGAGGTGTGTGAGTGTCTCCATGGTGACGCAGCAGACAATTCTGGTGGAGAGGAAGCGGAGGGGACAGCCGCCGTGGAGGCGGGCGAGATGACTGATGGCGGCGAAGACGACTTTGAAGATGAAGGCCCCACCGACATGGTGAGCAAGCCAAGTAGACATTTACAGTCTCGACAGGGAGTGAGTGGGTTCTTCTGTCTTTAAAGTAAAGGCTCCTGTGTCTAAGAGCCTATAACTCTGCAATGTCTGCTCAAACCTAATGCTTATGTGGAGGCCTCTCTGTGCGCTGTCACTTTGAGTTTGCATCAGCTGTCATTTATTTTGTTTTCTTCCAGCAAGATTAAAGCCATGAGCTCAGGTTTTAAAAGACGGCTTTAGTGAATGATTTACCAATACAATGCCTGTGTATTCTTATCAAATATTCTCTAAGAAAAACAGATGGCCATATAATCCGAAAAGCAATTGATTTTTTTTCTCTTATCAAGAGTGTCTTTGGCATAATTAAGCTCATAATTAAAATCTGAGTAGAGTTTTAGTTTTTAGAATAATCACTAGATAGAGTTTTTGGGGTCTGCTTTGAGCAGTTAAGTGAAATCTTAAAAATGCTTTACTTCATATATTTCATGAATGAAAATAATTTAATTGATTGCTAATAATTTATGATAATATAATTTAACATATTGCAGGCTTAAAAATAACCTTTATAGTCGCCATACTGTGGAAGATCTAAAGTATTTCAAGACTTTCTTATGCAGTAAAACTAATATTCAGTCAATCTGAGTTCAACAATAACCTTTGAGTAGACCCAATGAATGTAGACCCAAATGTACAAAAGAAGCAGGTTGGGCCGAAGAGAAAGGTATGATTAAAAACAGAATCAACATTTTTCATGCTGATGATGGTAATCAGACCAGTGCAATGAATAGCAAGCTGGAGGAGAGAATGTGGGTGCAGGGAGCAGGGGAATGGCATAGATTTTATATAGTTATTTTTTTAACAGAACTTTGAAATTTAGTTAAAAAAAATACTCATGACAAACCTGAGAAATCACATAATATTTTTAACTTGACTACTTGCTGCCGTCCAGGGTCCTCTATAGTTATGATGCAACAGATTTGCATTCGTTTCCAGTTTTACAATCAGGGTTGTAGTGATCAGTAATCCACACAGCCAAAGCAAACCCAAGAATGTGTCCACATTGACAGAATGCAGTCAGATTTTGAAAAAGTGTCATTCTCTTCTCTCCAGGATGATCAATAACCACAGACATGCTGTTAGTGGTGCAGTTTCTATCTATTTTTCAATGCCTACAAATATGTTGGAAGATGTCACATAGAGGAAAAATACTTTTTATATAAAAAGATAGCATCTTCAAACATAATAATAATTTATGATCATTCCTGAGTTGTTATTGATCAGAATAGTGAAGTGTCCATTGATGCATACGTTTAATACAGAGTGTTTTATAATTTAATCACAGTCAATTACTCAGACACATTTTGGAGGGCAAAAGTGAGATAGTGGTTGTTATGGTGGTTTGATGCAGCTTAATGTCACCACACCCTCTACATGTGACTGTCCCTGGAAAATAACTAAAACTCTTAATTTAATCAAAACCATCCCATCATGGAAGTGCTCAACTTCCCCCCCCCCCTATTTTTTGTTCCTGTTTCTTTGATATATTTTCTTTGATATATTTTCTTTGATATATATTCTTTATTGATAATAAAAGTAGACTGTAGACCCATTAATGAATTCATATTCTATCTCTTCTGTATATGGCAGATAGAGAACCACATATCTGACATTGACAACTGATTAAGGTCAGTATTTATTCTCTTCCTTCATGTCACTGGAACAATGAACTGGCTTTTACATTTTGAGAAACAGTTTGGAAAGCAGATAGGCACAACGTGAGCAGCAGCAGCAGCAACTCAAATAATGGTGGTCTTTTTTTCTCTGTCTTTAAGAAGACAGAGATTCTTCACCTTCCACTTTAATCCGCCTCTGTTTTTCTTAATAGCCTGTCACCCTTTCTGTCTGGGGGAAAACGAAGTGGCTATTCTGCAGTCATCATTATCAATGCGTAGATGGGACTTCATGCCATTTGCACTTTTCCATCAAATGACATTTGAATCTTAGGTTTTTCCTCATATGAACAAATGGCTATGAGATTTAATTAGTCTCTTGGCTGACATTTCCTTCCTGCTGTCTGCCACTGCCAATGAACAGAAATCTGTTTAAGTGCCCTGATCATGAGAGTTTGATAAGCTGATGGGAGAATAAACTATTAGCTTTGCAGAAACCAGACACATTATTTTATTTTGCTGTTATTGGCCTGTTTCCATTTTTAGCATTAAAATAGTAGGTAAACCATAACGAAATTTAACTAGCTACAGAGACTGGCTATAGTAGAATATTGCAACTGGTAAATATTTCAAATTTGATTTAATTTTGTGTTTCTTCTTTCAAGATGGGGAATAAAAGAAGCAAAAGAAGAACAAGATTTTGTCTGAATGGATACCAGCAAAACTTTCTTGATTAAGGAGGTGTATTTAATATTAAAGAATGAGGGAACAGTGAAGGAAATGACCGCCAGCAAAGGGACTCTTGTTTGCAGCTCGTTCGCCTCGTGTGCTTAATGAAATGCTGGGTATGAATATTCTCCAGACCACTGCAAGATCAACTTTAAAGAGCAATCAGAGACCTCCCCCCTCAGAATGATTGCTTTTCCAAAAAACACAGACAATACAATATATTGTGTGCTTACTACATCATGGCCTGAATTGTGTATAACAATACAGTCACGTAAACTGTCTCAAATGAAATGATCTCCTTTGTTGTACTTCAGTGTTTGTTTCTGTGAATTGAAAACTGTGACAGGCCAGGATACAGCTAAATCTAAAATGTACAGATTAAAGAGCTAAATCTGAATGTAAGAGAAACATTTTCTTCGGCACCTGTTCATAATGTGATTTGTTTTATTCATACATTTCGAGGAAATGTACATGGTGTAGTTAATTTATGTCTCCACATTGTATTTAAAGCAAATAATGTTTATCATTTGATGTACAAGAAAAAAATAAACCTTGTTGCACTCTGTTTATGGTAATCAAAAGATGACAGTTCTTTTCCTATCAGCATGTTGGAGATGTGACTATTATGGATCATTTGTATTCACTGCATTTATTGTACAGACATAGATTATCAGATTTTTTTTTTTACATAAATGCAACCTCATCTTAACCACTATGTTCTCTGTGTTGTGAATTTTATGTTGAGAAGTAATATTTTTTTAAAAGACTTTCACCAGTTTTTCAGACACATTTCAGTAACCCTGACTAGTCCCACCACAGCTTTTTTCAAACCACAATCATGACAATATACCCTATTAAAAAGAAGTTCTAAACTAATGAACTTTTTTTTTCCTTTTTCAAAGACATTCATTTGTTTTAGTCTTATTCTCTCACTCGGTCAAGTTTATGCTTTTCACAGCAAATGTGACTGATGTTGATGTTGTGACTGATCTTTTTCTTTTGAAATTCTCTTCACGTCAGTTGGACGAAAACTTGTTTACCAAACCTCCCGGAAATTTACTAGATATTATTACTTTGACTTTGACTCTTAGTCAATCTGGAATGTGCCTTGAAGACTATTTCCTCAGAAATTATGTTTTGACCATCATTACTTGTACATATGTTTTTTTTATTTATTTGTCTTTTTCTTCTGACTGCATCATACAAGTTAAAGTCCTATTAAGAATAATACAGCCAATCTTTTTTGCGTGTGAGACGAGAATTAGCTCAGATGATGAATGGGAACAATGTATGTTAAAAACTAGTAACACTTTTTTGGTTTAAATGTAATTCCCTTTAACATAGCACAAATACATCCTCGATAGCCACCACCATTCCAATTCATGGCTACAATTTAACAACAGACCCATGTTGAATGTGCCCAAAACTATAATCAAATCAATGTATTTCCCCAATTTAATAAATATTCCCTCTACACTCCATTCTCCACATATAATTGGAAGCAGCAATACAAAAATGAGGGCACACAAAGATGCTAAAAGCCCAATTTTCCTCTCGAGATCAAATATAGAGTCCTGCACAATAAACCTGGTCTATTTTCTGCTCTGAGGACATCAATCTTTTTTATTTTTAAACACAGTGCCCTTGAAAACTGCAGTAATTGAGAAATGGGATGGTTTGATTGCAACAGATGGCATTGCTAATTCAGTCACTTCATTAGTACCAGATCATCATTTTCAAAGGTTAAGGAGGGTCGTTGGCTGGGTTGCAGGTATAATTGGTGCTATCAGAGCTGGCTAGAAGCCAGTGAGTCCAATGATCAGTCATGCGGCTGCTATAATATGGACAATGTTCGATGTGAGATGAACTGAATCAATCACTGGCATGTGAAGCTGCTGGAGGATTTATGAGATTAATAGGGGTCAGGATCTTTACAATTATTCTGTTACTACGATGGCGAAAACCTTTCTGATGGAGGGTTTATGAATTGTGTCTGAGAGAACCTTGCATACAATTATTAGTTTGCATTTGATTTAATGACCTTTTAATAATTCTCAAATGTCAAAGATGGTCTTGTATAGTTCGCTTCACTATCCTCTTAGTTATCCCAGGCATATCTAAGCAGATTTGTTATGCATTTTAAACTAAAAAACCACCGCTCCTCTATAATAAAAATAACAGGTTTGTAATGGTTGTCTTTGTTTATGAAGCAGACACCTTTAGCTTAATATTTGACTGTACTTACCGCTTAATTGATCGGCATATAGGCAGTTCTTTGATAAATTACAAATTAGTGTATATTGGTTTCTATGATTTTCTTACATTCAATTGATTCCTTTTTTAAACAAATAAATAAAACATTTAGAGTCATTTAGAGTGTCTTAAGGAAGGAGGATTGACTGATTCAGATACACAGGGGGAAAAAAGTTGTTTTGATACTTATGTAAACATACCACACCATATGGTCAATTTCCAGTTTCCACCCTTTGAACAAAATGAAAACTTCTAAGCAGTAGAGGAAATCCCCCCCCCCCATAAGGTTAATAATTCAAGCATAATTTGGACCAGTGAATAGCTGGTCTAGCATGTTCTGACAAACCTTTCTGTGAGTCAGAAATGAAAAGAACGTCGATCCCAGGTAATTTTCTGACTGGAACTGATGATATTGATATTATTATTTGGCTCAGGATGGCATGTTTGAGCAAGAGATAGATTTGGGCTTTGACAGCAGCAATGAGAATGCTGCACTAGTCTGTCTTGGTCTCCCCCCCCCTATTTTCAACCCCAATGGTCTGTTTTGGTCTGTTCTGTTTTGACCAAAACAAGGATTTTTTTTTTAAACAAGCAGTTGAAATGGTTTTACTTTGGAGGGTGGCTGCATGGCTCAGCTCAACTCTCCCGGATGTTACCGTTACTAACGTCATGTAAACAGGAAGTTTAACCCCAGTAGCGGCGAGTTTAAGTTTTTGCAAATGACCAGTTACAGCCATTGCTCTAATTATTTTGTTTAATTTTTTCTGCCAGATTTATAACGAGATATTAGCATTTTGCAATCTGTTCCAACAGTTTGAACCCCTGTTAGTGAATTGCACGTAATGATTTTGCCTCTCAGGTCGATCGACGGTAGCTAAACTTCGGCTAGGCTGCTACGTAAATGGAGTAATGTGCAATGTGTTTGCTGATTTCAGGGGTATTTGGTAACTTTCACAGTCATTTTACTGGGGTGGTTTTTTACTCTGGTTATGGGGTTTGTTGTGTCGTGACTGGACAAAAACGGCACATATAAATGAACAAATGGTTATGGGTGAAAAGGAGCTCAACCTTGTTGACAAGAATTTATCGAGGTAATGTTTAATACTGCCCACGTTTCCCTTATTTTTTACCTTTCCAACAACAAAATATAATCCCCGAAATGTTTAAAACCTTTTAAATTATTGTCTACTGAGGCTTTTACTGATAATATGATTTCAAACTTTATTTAACTTGCGTGTCAAATGTTATCCAAAGCTACGTGCTAACGTTAGAAAAGTTAAATATTTTAAATGCAACTATTTGAAATTATAACAGAGGATACAACTAGATACTTTACCATTAGTTTTGTCCAAAGCCCACAATTATTTAGTTATAAAAATTGGTTTGATTGTATTTACGAAACAGTTCATGTCAACATCAAGCCCCTGACCGGAAGTAAAGTAAACCTTGCTTCACAGCAAGTAGTAACGGTTTTAGAAAGTTGTAATTACAGTTTTTGTGTGATAATAATCTTCTTGCAGTATTCAAACTTTTAGTCACACGGTGTCCCTCTGCTTTGAGTCTTACTGTGCCTCTGTCCATATAGTTTGCAGGGTATCCCTTTGACTCCTTCAGTTACAACTCTTAATCTGCATTGCAATCACATCCCAAGGATTGAGGGTTTGGCTTCAGCCTGGCACCTGCACCATTTAGACCTTTCCTCCAATCGCATTGGTAAGATTGAGGGTCTGAGTTCCCTCACCTCCCTAAGGACTTTAAATTTGTCCAGCAACTTAATCACCAAGGTCGAAGGTAAGTCTTAGCCCCAATCTTCATTAGATGATAAATGTTTCACTCTGCACAGATTCTCCCAGTAATAATTCTTTATCTCTGCATCTTGTGTTTACTGCCACTGCTCTGTGAGCTGTGAAATAATTCAGAGTTAAATGTCCTCCTCCTTTACATCAGGATTGAATGGCCTTGTGAACCTAACAAAATTAGACCTGTCTTACAATCAGATAAATAACCTCACTGGTGAGTCACACCCTCGTTGAGTTTTCTTTTTGTGGGCCAAATAAAAAGTGCAACAAGTTACTGACACTTCATTGATCTTGACTCCTCTTCTCCTCATTAGGCCTGTTATATCTCCATGGCACGGAGTACAAGCTGAAGCACCTTAGTCTCCATGGCAACTACCTAGACAGCATCGATCATCTCCTGCAGTGCCTGCTGGGATTACAAGGTTTACGGGATGTCACTATAAGACAGGATGGAGGAAACAACCCCTTGTGTGGTTTACCTGGTAGGTCATGAAGCGCTGACTCTGATGTTTCCGTTACACTTATTAGATATCATGTAAAAAGTGTTGAAGACGGGAACCGTAACTAAACTCAAGCTTTTAAACAAGCCGATGCAATGCATTTCCTAATAAGTTCGGTGTGTTCATTCAGTCCTGCCTCAATGTGGTTTGATGGAACCTGGTGTGTTAAAAAAGGGGCTGCCTTAGTGCTGATGGATGATCACTTTCCTTTTGAGGCTTAGCATCTTAGACAATGTTTTGAACTTTTTCCTTTAAGTGGTGGTGATAAAGGAACTGAAAACGTAGGTAGAACGACCAACAGTGCAGCTGCATGATGCACCCTACCTAAACCCCATGGCCACCAGAGACCTCATTCATCACTATATGTCAAATGTAATGCTACCCTCTTCTGTTTTGTGAGTACTGTGCTTCGGCTGTGGTCACATCAATAATATTACCACCAGGCATATGAACACATGTGAACACATGGAAGAACAAAATGAAAAGTCTGTTTATTTTGCACACATTTAAAAAAACTTGGCAAAGTGTAAGTAATAGGTAATAAACAGTTTTAAACTGTCATTGGTGGTTGCTGGTTTCTTCTGTGCTCACGGAGGTGAGAAAGAACTGAATACTGAGTCATAGAGTCTCTGTGTGTATGCTGTTCCTTCAACATCTCTGCATAACTCAGAGTAAAAACACTGTGGCAATGAAATATAGTTAGCATATAGAAATGAATTAAAGTTAGAAATATAGTTAGGATCTAGTCAATCTGTACATATCCTTTATGAATTCAGAGGTTGTTCTGGTTACTCAGCACTACTGATTTGGCTGTTGTCTCTGACCGACATCTCTGTGAACCATTTTGCGTGACGGATTAACTCTGGCAGGCTGTGAACACCAAGTGTTTTAACATGCTTGTCAAAAGTAGATAATCAAAACAAATGCAGAGGAAGCATGCTAAATTAATAACCATTTTGTTTGCTGCTTTAGCCAAAAGGAAACAGTTTTCTGTGGCAGTTATCAATTTACAGAGCTTGGTATGTTTAAGTTTGTGAGCAATATTCCACTGAAAAATGCTTTCATCCATTTCCTACATCAGAATGTGGAGCAGTGTCCTAATTGCCAATGACACCTAGCTGTTTTTGCCTGTATAACAACAGCCCAGTAACTAATGACTGTAATCCGTTTAGCTGCTTCATAAATGTAAAAATCCTTTCAGTTATGCTGCACAGTCATTTTGGAGGCTCATAAGCCTGATGAGCACATCTGATAACAAACATTTGAAAAATCTTACTATTTTATTTTATGCTGCATAATCACTGTAACATGTGATTTCTAAAGGGCTGGTCTGATGCTCAACTGATTTTCTGTTTTACTGCAGGTTACTGGGAGATTGTTATGGAGTCCCTGCCACAGATCTCTGTTTTGGATGGCTTGGACCGGCTGAGACATCCATCATCCCCTGGTATAAGCAGTGTCTGTGACATTGCTGGCCTGGAGGAGTATGTGGATTTCCTGCTCTCCTCTGACACAAGTCACAACGAAGTGGTAATTTTCAAAGCTTTTACAGATTTCATATTTAATTTTCCTCTTCTCTGCAACAATACCTACCAGATTCCTCTCATTTGTATTTGTAAAATCAGAATTTATTCAAACCAAGAAAAAGGCACTTTGCGTTTGGGGAACTTTCTTAAGTTGAATAAAGTGCGTGAGAAACTTGTGTTCATCCCTGCCTAAATCAAAAGCAAAAGCTTAACTGACTTCAAATAATTAACCTTTTCATAACAGGGTAAAGGGGCTGTCACCACACCTCGCATTGACCAGGTGCTCAACCAGTTTCGTCAGCAGATTGCCTGTGAGGCTAACGCGGATCCAGCTGCACACTCTGTCACACCAGCAGCCAGTCAGAGCTCCAAACCTGTTGTTACATCTCAGGCAGAGGCAGCAGACCCCCTGAATGAAGAGCGCATCAGGAAACTGGAGCACCAGGTGTCCCAGCTCATCCAGCAGGTGCACATTTCCTCTGCTGAAAGCTAAAAAACACTCATTAAAAAGCATTAGTGTGAATTGGTGTTTATTGACGATGCTTCACTGAATACAGCAGTGACTGACTTCTCCTGATAAGGGCCTATCCAGGTTATTTATTTCACACTGTACTGGGGTTCTAGTAATTTATTGTTTTACATAATGTATGTATTTATAGTTTATTGCTACATGTAATATACTTTTTATGCCTGTTATTTTTGCATTGTGTGTGTGTGTGTGTGTTTTTTCTCTCATAAACTGTCAATTTTGCTCCAAATTTTGCTCAGGTTCCTGCTGGTGAAAAGTCCAGAGTCTCTGTGCATCCTGTGGTGAAGTTGCGTAAAGCCAGGAGGGACACGGACCGCACCTCAGAAAGTGAGTGTGAGAGCGCCAGCGAAATCGGGAGGCGCTCAAGGATTCCCAGACATCACAACATCATTGCATCAAGCACCACAACTCAGGAGAGCAAAAACACCAGATCAGACAGGTGAGTCAGTGTGGAAATGAACTTTTTCCGTTTGTTATTTTGTGTTTTTTGTTTTGAGACTTTGTTGTGTGAACACATTTGTTGGCACTAACAAAGTCAGGGAGAGAAACTTTAGTTCTGACCTCATTCCTGCACTCGCCAAACTTTGCTGACACAGATGTGATTATAACATAGTTACTGACTTCATTCATGTCTGTGCAATCAATTCCGATGTGCAGCTGAGGATATTCCCATCAGGTGTGTTGGTGATTGAGGAAATCATTTAATCTATCAGCTGTAACGGGATGGTCAGTTGTCTTCTCTGTCTAATGTTCTCTGTTCAAAATGACAACTGTTGGATCATTTCTATAATGAAGCGCCATTCCCATCTAAGCTTTCTCAGCTACTGATGGTATCTGCTAATGATTTGATCATTTAAGATAATGGAGTTTGCATCTGCCAAAACCAAAAGCACATTTTAGCTCCAAATACAGTCCGGATAAAATTGTGCAGGTGAACTGACAATAACTCCTTCCATCGCGACCCAACACTGAATGCAGCAAACGCCAACACCTCGCCACCACTGTGTGTTTATTTATGGTTTCTGTTTTCAGTTAATGTCAGGGAATTGTTACCTTTCAATTCATACAAGGGCCGCAATTTGGGCAAGCTGATTCTAAAGTTGAGCTGTTTTTCAGTGAGAGGTCACATGTGAAGTTGCAGTCCTGCTTTTTTTTTAGACTTTTGAAACCCTTTAGCAGACACAAGAAAGGAAGATTTTGGGACCAGTCTTAGCCAGACATTTAGCTGGAGAGCTGTTCATTTCAGGCTCGGTTTAATACCTTTTATTTGTTTTTCTTTTCTCTTTGCAGCGACCGGGGGAATAATAAACTGATGATTGCAAAGCCTGCTGTGGGGGCCAGGAGGAAGGCTGGTGGTGGGGGGACTGTACAGGGAGGGGGGCAAACAAGGAAAGGACCGTTGAGAGCAGCTAAGACCTTAGGCAATGAGAAATCCTTCCAGGAGGAAGAAACCTACAGGGTACGGTTCACCCGCAGGCTGAATTGAAGCCTCACTTTTGTTGCAGAAAAGGAATATGAACACTTTTTTTCCCCTTAGGAAATGAATAGCAGATACTACCTGCTATTCTCAAAACACAAAACATAGACAACTGACATTACAACTGTGTCCATTTCATAATTATTTTTTGTGATTTCAGTCTGAAAACTTTAAAAAGACAAAGTGAAAGTCCTCCCTTTGTTCAAGCTGAGACTTTCTCTCGACTTAGTGGCAGACGGTTGAGGGAGATTGTCAGAATTCTCCTTCATTCCTTACAATATGAGGTTTCCATGTGTTTTGATGTGTGCTCAGACTATCGTGGAGGAGCGTGATCAGGAAAGAGAGAGACGTTGGAAGGCAGAACAGGCAGTGCGGAAGCTGACAGAGGAGCTGAAGTGTCTTCAGACAAAAGTCAGCGAGGAAAAAGACCTTCAGAGCATGGCTCTGCACACCACCGACAGGTAGGAGAGACTCACAGATTGATGCGTATGCGCCGCCTTCACAAACTTCCACATGAATTAAAGTCTCTCAACCACATGCCAAAGTGAAAACTGCATAATTTAACCCATCTGACTGGATTTTAATTTCAAGCTGGATCCATATACACTTTTGTTATATTGACTCGCTTGGGACCAGAGCTTGCTGCCAGTTTCTTTCTTTAACTATGATTATCAGTCTCTCTGTTAAAAAATCTTTCTATTTTTTCTCTTTAGCCTCTATTGAAAGCTCATTTTTAGCTCCATTACCCCCCCAATGTTTAAGTAAGCCTGCAAATGCCTGTGATTTGCCCAAAAAAAGTGGAAAGATCATTAACCTACTTACCCATCCTGATTTCATCCGCTCTGAAGGCAATAATGACCACAGATTAAATATTCTGTTCTCGTAGCAGCCCACGACGCTGTGCTTTGTCTGCTCTGTCCAGTTAAGCAGCAGGTGTGTCTGTCCCTTTGCCCTGTTTGTTTCCTCGTTGCTGCGTAGATAAATCTGCATTACAGCTGCAATTAAAGGCCCGGTGATGCGCAGATGCCAGCAGTGTTACACAAATCAATCTCAGCTGTCACTTTTTAATGACACGTAACACATCAGGAGGCAGATGATGGAGAGGTGACTCATGAGGGCACATTTAAAAAGGAGGTTACTGTGAAAGACAGTTTAAGGGGTCTGAATGGTAGCTTTACATTTTGATCTTCATAGCAGGAAAATCCTGTACGGCTGGGGTTGTTGAGTTTTACAGCTTACCGCATTCAGTGGATATTCAGACTGTGATTTCTGCTTCTCTTGGACACGCTCATCATATTTTTCTTTCCTTTCAGACTGAAAGAGTTGCTGCTGAAAGAGCGGTCGGGGCGCTCTGAGCTGCAGACTCGTGTTGACGAGCTGGAAGGGAGGTGTCGGTCCCTAACCCAGCAGCTGGAACAGAGCCGCGGCAGTGAGGAGCATCACAAAGCTGCACTGCGTAGACTGGAGGAGAGCATTTCCCATGGGGACGTTCTTAGGGCTCGCCAGCAGGCAGAAGAGGTAAAGATGCTGGTTTGTTTAAAATGCATCAGCTGGACAGATAGTGCACACTATACTCAGTCAGATGATCCTGGGGGTCATTTTTATAAAATCCTGTCATAATACGGTCGTCTTCCGCTGGCTCTAAGGAGTGTGTTCACCAACGCAAGGTTTCACTGCTAGTGGTTTTGCAGATTGTCATTCAGGTCTTACAGCCCGCATCAAACACGTTTTGACCTTTTCTTAGATGAAGCGGTACCAGGAGCTGGAGAACAAGGCAGCCGCCCTGAGGAGAGAGCTGGACATCCAGAGAGCCTCGGCGCACCAGCACAAAGACAAACTGCAGCAGCTGCATGAACTGCTGGCATCCAGGGAACAAGAGCACAGGTACACCCAGAGAAATCTTGTCAGGCCACACGACAGAGCAGAGCAGCCAGGCCAAAGTTAACATTCAGCATCTGTCAGAGTGAGAAGAGGGCAGGTTTTTCCAAAAAACAGTGAGAATCCTCTCCACTCAAAAATGTTTTTGTATTCTTACTATAGGGACCAGTTTCTGCAGAAAGTCTCCAGAGTGGTGTTCAAGTTAGACATTTTAAAAGATATAGAAAAAATAAACTGAAGACAAAGTTGGTCTAAAATTTTTATCTGATAATGGGGAAAAGACACCTGAAACCCCAAGCAAGTAGAGGACAGAGGTTTGCTGTAGGATGATGAAAGCCCTGTGTAATCCACTTCTAGGTTCAGTTTAACAAAAGACAAAAGATTCCTCTCACCTTTCCGAAATGTCAGCTAATTGCCATTTGTGGTGGACAAAGAAAATTGCAGAGTCGGTTTTTATCTGATTCAGAAATGTTGAATAAAGGCAATTAGGTAGATGGAACTGTCCCTTTTCATTTTCTCTCATCGTCATAGCCTGTACTGATTTTAAGACAACGGTCAAAGTGCTTATCATGTTTCACAGTAACTTTTTCGGGTTTGCATTCTTCTCCCAGAAAACAGCTGGAATTGCGCTTACAGCCTGGTGGGGCAGATTTCCGTGAGGCAGTGGCGAAGGAGGTTGCGTCAGTGGAGCAGAAACATAGCCAGAGGGAGGCCGACCTGCAGGAGAAACTGTCAGAAGGCAGAAAATTGTACGGCGCTCTCGAGGACGAGTTTCGCATGGCGCTAACCATCGAAGCTGCTCGCTTCTCTGAGGTCGGCTAAAACGAGCACCCGCCTTCCTGGTGGCCTGCAATCACTGTAATGTTGTCTCGACTTTTAGACTATTTTCTGCGTGCTGGCCAGCTGATAATTGGCAGAAAGAGAAACGTTTGAACTAGAATTGACCTCAAATTTTAGTTTCCTTTCCAGCCTCATGATGAATACTAAGATTGTCTGTGATTTCCGCGGAAGGAAAGCTTTTCCTCAACAATGTATTTGACCGTTTATTGTTGTTGACCGCTACCTTTAGAATAAATGACTGTGGAAACCCATGATTTCCTAACCCAAACGTTTCTGTAGGTGAAGGAGGTGTGTGATCACGTGACTTCAGAGCTGATGGAGCTTAAGGAGACCCTCGCTCAGTCCCAGCAGAGGGAGAAGAAATCAGCCTCTCTGGTGCAGGAGCTCACCTTGATGGTCAAAGAACAGAAGACCCGCATCTCCGAGCTCATCAAAGCCAAAAAAGATGCTGTAGCAGATCTCAAGGTGCGAGGCAACTTGTAGCTTTCAAAATAATCTCCCGATAGGGGTTGAAATATTAGTCCTCATTCAAGCAGGGTACCATCTGCTATCGCCTGATCATCTGCCATTTTTGACAGGTGGCTGTTCATTAATACTGCCTGTGTCTGTCCCTCTGCCAGAGCCGCCTGCATTCCTTGGAAGCAGAGGTGGAACAGGACCGGCGTCTTGGTCTACAGCTCGAGATGCTCAAGAAGGAAAAGGCACGACTGTTGTCTCAACTCACAGCTCAGGAGTCGGTGATAGACGGCCTGAGGGCCGAGAGGAAGATCTGGGGCCAGGAGCTCGCTAATCAAGGTGGGAGAGATCCAGGAAACCTCCTATCGTGCACCTTGACTCAGCAGGATAGCACACACTGAACAGCAGTTTTAGTTGGTTATTGGCAGTATAATTTTAGAGATAAAATTTTAGATTTGATTCATTTCACACTTTTATCTGGTGTTTAATTCCATTGAGCTCTTGCCATCTAGTGGTTAATAGACAAACAAAGACTCTAGAAGGTCATTTGGTTTTATTCACAGTTTTATGCTATCATAAAATACTTTTTCTCGCTGGAATATTGCACCTTTTTTGTCAGGTGCATCATTGGCTCAGGATCGTGGACGTCTGGAGGCCAGGATAGAGGTGTTGACGACTGAACTGGAGACTCAGAGGAAACAGAACGGGAGAGACCATGATGCCCTTAAAATCAAAGCCAAAATCATGGATGACCAGACAGAGACCATTCGCAAACTCAAAGAGGTGCTTTGACACCTGTTGTCTCCATATTACCAATGCTCCCGATCAGTTACTCAGCCTTCGCATCTGAGAATTTATCTCCCATAAAATCAGTAATTGGACCATGAACCTTTCAATATTTTCTCTACAAGCTGAAATATGTCAGCTTATCTAAAGGTATCTATTGTTCTTAATGTAATTTTCTGTAGTTAGACTGCTTCTCCCAATGAGAACTTAAATTACTTCTTGCAAACAAATCTACAAGCATGTCCTAAAGGTCCTGCCTTGGCCTTTGACCTCAAAGTAAAAGAAGAAGCCAGCACACTGAAAATGACAAAGACACTGGCACAGATGAGTGCATTCAAACTGAGAGATGAAACAACTCCATCTATGTTGAGAGAATCCAACATAACTAAAGTCAATAATCCTTCTTACCCTAATTTTTTAATAAATAATTGGCTCAGCTTAACTCTGCAGGGAAACCTGATGTCTGAGGCAGTCTGTTTTCATCCGCTTTCCTTTTGTACAGTCATTGCAGGAGCGTGACAATCAGATCCGTAAGATGAGGGAAGAGGCTGTCCAGGCCCAGAAGCGGTTCCAACAGCAGCTGGAGGGGGAAACAGCCCAGCGAGCTGAAATGAAGGAGCAGCTGGAACATCTGAGCCTGCGCAAAGAGGAGCTGAAACAACAGCTAGAAGACAAGGATGCAGAGCTTGAGGAGGTCAGAGCAGCTTTCAGGCAAGTGATCAGTCACAAAACCAGAAACAGGAATATAATGCGGAGAGAAAATAATATGTATCATAACGTATGTGTTTCTAATACTATTTAATGATTAAAGAGAGAAGGGCTGTTTATCAAAGCGTAGATATGCCAAACTTTAGGAGACTTTTATGTAATCATAAAAAAATTCTGAATGCATTCATTTAGAAATTGGTTGTTGTTTTTGTTTTTGTAACCATTTTGTCTTCTGTTGATTTGTCTCATCTGTTAGTAATTCAAGTAAGAAGTGGCAGGAGAAGGCCGAGCTGCTCAGTCGTCTGGAGGGCCAGGTGAAGCGTACGAAGGATAATTTTGATTCCAAGGAGCGCCTGCTGCTGGAGGAAAGAGATAAAGCCACAGAAGCTCACAAGTAATATCAGCAAAGCCACATTCTGTATTCTGTATTACTCAGTAACATTTTTCTTTGGCCCTCATGGTGGTGTTTTTTGGTCAGATAAGATTCACCTCATGATCAATTCCTTTCGGAATTCAATGAAGATGTCTCTGTGACTTTTGCTCTTGAAACCCTAACCCTGGATATTGATTAGTGCATCCACACATCCTGAAAAAAATCGGACATTTAGATTTGTGCATCATTGTATGTGTTGAACCCCTTAAAACAACATTTTCTTTCTGTTTGTCCCTCCGAAGAGCTGCAGTGGAGAAGTTACGCTGTGTGGACGACGCCTTTCGTCGACAGCTGGAGTGCGTTCAGGCTGCACACCAAGCGGAATTGCTAAAGCTGGCTAATGAAAAACAAAAAAAGATAGAAAAAGCCAATGAGAAGGTACATTCTTCTTACAGAAATTGATATTCTTCAGTTATCTAGAGAAAAGCAGCTGTATACTTTTGTCTTCAAATATGAGAAACATACACACTCACAATGTTTCACTTCTTGTGTGATGGTTCTGAAAGTGTTTACCGGTAACTATACTGACAAAGAACCTGCTGTAGAAACAGTGCATGCAAAGCCAATGTTGCTTTCTCTCCTGTGGGGTGTATTATGAATGGCAGGACAAGGCAGACCGTGTCCCCCTAACACAACATTTGGATAATGGATAAAAGGAGGGGACAGGTGTAAAATTATTTGGCATGTTCTCATGTCAATTTGATCTTCATTTTTTATTCAAGCACCCGATTTTCTCATTTTTGTGATTGTGATCACATTTAAAGAAAATAAAAAATACATTATTAGTTAATAAAAAATCCTTTTTGGAACATTTTGATGAAGTTGTTCTGTGTGTTGTCTTCAGCTAAGCTCTGTGTGCTTCTGCCTCAGGTGTTTGAAGTAGAAGAGGAGATGCGTCAGCTGCTTGAGGAGACTGAAGTTAGCAAAAGAGTCATGGAAGAGAAAATGAGACGTCTGACCACTGTATTGAAAGACTTTAACGCATGAAATACTTGGATTTCTTAACATATTTTCTTTTGTGCTTTTTTAATACAAATGTAGTTTTGTAAGTTGTTGATCAAATTTTCAATAAATTTTAGTTTTCTTTTAAATAAATTGTAGTTTTTTATCAGTGTTTTTTATTCACAAACTGAAGTACACAGGCCTTTTCTGTAACTTTAACAGGTAAAACATATTCTTATGAGTGACAAATTGTATTCATTTTAACAGAGATGATAGCATGATAGCAAAGTAAAGTAGAAAATAATTGTCATTTTTGCATTTACCACTAACAACAAAATGTATAGCATAAGGTAAATATTCAGAAATAAGATATTTTAAAAAGATAATTTAACATGATAATTTAATGAAAAATGTCAAAACTAGAATTCTAAATGAATCAGTAATACTATTATGTATGGATTTTTATGCCATTTTTCGACTTTTATAGCAATGCATTTTAATCAATTTTGGTTCAAATTTATTTTCTAAAGGTTTTACATTGCAGTCATTTATATGGCATAAGTTTTTGTAACTTTTGGTTGCAATCTTTGAATGCACCTGATTGGTCAGTCAAGCTCTGAATAGGCGGGGCTTTGTTTCCTTGTAGGGGTCAGTCGGCACGAGCGGGTCATGAGTTGCCAAGGCAACCGTAACCTAACGTAACGCCCGTTCATTTAAGAAGACCAGAGGTACTACAATGGCCCAGTGAAGATAACAGAGAGGTTATCTATTATCGAAGCGGAATGGTTCTTGTTTGTTGTTAAGAGCCGGTATTTGAGTTTAAAAGAAGTAAGAAGCGATTCGCTTCTTTGGTAAAAAGAAGATGGAGTTCGAAAGAAGGGAGACCGTGCGGTCGACACCGAGTCGACACGAGAAAAGTTTGGGACTCCTCACGATGAAGTTCGTCAGTCTGCTTCAAGAAGCTAAGGATGGCGTCCTTGATTTGAAAGTGGTCAGTGACGCAAAGATGATACTCCTGTTTGTTTCTCTAAGAGTTATGGTTATACTTTGTTAACAAAGGGCTGTCAGTGTCAGTCACAAGTGTGTCCGGTCAGGTGTAGGAGGGGGACAAGCAAGCCGCCATTACCTTCGTTTTTATGTAGAAAAGTCTACAAAAAACTAATAGTATTAAACATATTTAAGCAATATTGGAATAATAAAGTATCTTCAACCGTCAATTCTTTCCCGCTTATTGACACATTTAATCGCACAAGTTAGATATTAGTGACTGACCAGGACTAACTTTTTTATAACAATAGAGTATGGTTGAAAATTATTAATATGTTAAGTCATTAGTCAAATTTACCACTTATATTAAGATAAATACCTGCATATTTTCCTCTGTTAACAGAAACAGCAGATTTAAGATGCCACACCTGGACTATCAATACCTTTGCTTTAAAATCAGCATCTCCCACTAAGCTGGCCATAAAACGTACTGTTAATTAGACTTTCAGCTCTACAACTGTACATGAATGTAGCAACAGTCAAACATGTATTTATCAATATTACACCCCAACAATAGTGTTCCCTCTTTTACTGCTCGCTAAATCTGGGTAATGTTTAAACAGCCAGCTCCTCAGACTTCTTCCCTCCTCCCTCCTCCTATACAATTGTATAAGAGTCCTCCACTGCCAAGAAGTATGATATACTGTTTGTGCTGCTTAACTTAGGGTCTGTTGAGTTTATGATTTGTCATTTGATGGAGACTTTGACACACATACTTCCTCGTAATGTTTCTTAAAGTATTTGCATCTTGTCCACATGGATTAATCTGAACTGTTTCAGAGTTACTTCACAGAGATGTCCTTCTGAATTTACAGGCTGCGGACAGCTTAGCAGTGAAGCAAAAGAGAAGGATTTATGACATCACAAACGTACTGGAAGGTGTGGGGCTGATTGAAAAGAAAAACAAGAATATAATCCAGTGGAGGTTTGAAAAAAAAAGAAAATAAATCAGATTCTTTGAATATTGATTCTTGACTAATTTGATTTTCATGCTACCCGAAACGTGATGACTTGTCCCGTTCATGTGCAGGGGGCAGAACACAGGCTGCCAAACTCACGAGATGCAGGAGCAGCTCAGTGTTTTAAAGGCCCAAATCGCTGAGCTTGAAGCTCAAGAGAAAGAGCTGGACAACCAGAAGGCCTGGCTTGAGGACAACATCAAACGCATCAACCATGATCCTATCACCAGTGCATATCCTTTTATTGATTTGTTCTACTCTTACTATCATTTACTCAGGTACATTTTTTTTCTTGATGGTTTGCTTTTGTCCATGATATGGGTGGGCTTCACTTTTTATTTATATTTTATTTTAATATCTCACGTTAGGTCAAATTGACCTGGCACACATATGTTTGCACTTTTGGCTTTGCATTTGTTTAGAAATTTCAATAATTTGTTTTTTTCCCCCACTGGTTTGTAATTCTAGAGCTTCCAAGGCTCTGTTTTACTCATTTTGGAAGAAGGAAAATCAGCTTGATCCTTCTGTTATTGAACAGAGGAAAAAGCTTAAAAGGGAGGATTATGAAAATAATCTCTATTGTCATCAGTGAAATAGCAGCCAGGCTAATCCTAACTTGTACAATGCTCACACCTTCCTTTTTCCTGTCTATTGTCTCACCTTTTACCTTACGTTAATTGTGTTTCCTTAATCCTTCCACACCTATAAATTTGTGACACATGAGGACATCTGCAGTGCTTTTAGTGGAGACACTCTTTTAGCTGTTGTAGCTCCTGCTGGAACCCAGCTGGAGGTGCCACTTCCTGAAATGGTACATTGCTTTACTGATTTACGCCTGTTTTCTTTTTCTCTGCCCTAATTGCAATATTTACTAGGAAGCCGAGCGTTCACTACATTGATAATGGTCTCTGTGGTGTAGAAGCAGGTTCTGTCTTTTAGTGTCTTACCATTGTGGGACAGAATCTTCAGCACCTCTGTTTATATTTACCATTTTTAAAGCATATTCTGGCAAGTGTGAGAAGAATGAAACACCAAGATATTTAAAAACCTTTTGAGTGCAGAATTTAACCGTAGAATAATTGTTCAGGCTAATTTGTGCAAGACCTTACAGAGGTTGTAGGCTTCTGTTGGATGCATAAATCCATCAGTGTAATGCTCGTGATGTTTCTGATGTTTGGTCTACCAAAGGGGAAGTGAACACAATGTTGACATACTAGCTTAGAAGCTAGAAGATCCCATCCTTGTTCCGCCATTGCTCACAACCACTCATTCACATTAAGCCAAACTAAATTGCCAAGCTGAATTTACTGCTGACTTACTGCTGACTTTGTTTTTGTTTTCAGATGGTTTTTATGGTGTTCTGGAAGCAGATTTGTGACGTGATCCACACAGCATTAATATCTAGTTTCAGCTTAGCTTCTAAATTGCTACATAGCTAAAGGCTTTAAAGCACTAAAAAGCCTGCTTATCATGTCTCCTCACAAAATTCAGTGGCTAACTCCCTTTATGTGTGACGGTGGCAATATTTTTTGTTTTATTTTTCTTGAACAGCTGAATGTCATGTCAGGAAATGTTAACCAAAAGTTAACCAACTTCAACTATAAAACCTTTTTTTTTAAGTTGATTTGCTCCTACTAGCATTTTGTTTATTGTACATTCAGTTATGTGGCGTACTACATATATGAATATGTTGATTGAAGCTTTTGTCATTGTCATTACTGACTGCTGCTTTTTCAAAGGGCAAGAATGGTCAGAAGTACCAGGTGAACCTACGGAGCCACTCGGCTCCCATCCAGGTGATGCTCATCAACAGGGATTCTGGATCCAGAGTGCCTGTGGTTTTTCCTGTGCCACCCACCAGTGACATCTGTCCGATGCCGACTCCACCCAGCACTCCTGCCAGTCTGCAGAGGTTCCCCCTGTTGATGTCTGCCTGCTCCACTTCTGACACAACCCCATCCTTCTGCAGCCAGGACTCTGTTTGCTCAGACCACCAGATGGTGCTGCCAGACCATGATGAAATGTTGACGCCTTCATCTACCCCTGGTGATTTTCACATAGGTAAGGACTGGCTGGCCTATTCTGGGAATATAAGCGCTTTCAGAGGGCCTGTAGAAAAACACATCACTCAGTTTTCGAGTCTAAGAGGCTGTAAGAATCAGTAATCGATGTCTGGTTTAACTTTCAGAGTGTAGCAGGTTTATGTTGAAACTGACATCACACACACACACAAAGGTAACTTAAATGGAATAACTGAAACAAAAGAAATAATAAATCCATGCCATGGATCTCTTCTTATTAAAATTATATGTGATATTATTCATTTTAGTTTCAGTGAGTTGGAACAATAACATTTACGATACGTTACCAAAAATGCTGGGTGCTTTTTAAAAAATAATAGATGTGGTAAATGCTGTTCCTCACTTACAGCATCCGGTTAGATCGTCTAAAACATATGGAAGTTACCGGTATGTAGAGTATAAGGAAGGACAGAGTGGATTCCATGCTGCTCTGTTGTGCAAGACGTGAGTTTGACTCCTTTTTTGTGGCTTATTACGTCATAAGCCTTAACCGCCTGCTAAACTGAACAGTTTCCACCTGTCTTTATCAGATGAACTCCGTGTGTTTGATGTGTACTGCATTATATTGATAAGAAAATACAATATAACAATTTGGCTTCATTGTAATGCAACCCTATACAAATAGAGAAATTAATCCCTTGCACAAAGTGGAGCTGATGATGGGAGTTGGCTGTTTTTAAGAGCTGCTGCTCTGCATCTGACTCAGATATATCAGATATCAGAGCTTCTTGACAAGAAAGAACAGGAAAGATTACAAAATAAAAGGTTACATCCTGCATGCTTTGTGGTAAATCTTACCCTGATACTAAATTCGGTTGAATTGGTTACGCCATCTGGAACAACCCAGATCCAGCAGGTTTTCTCTTTTTGAGAGGCAAGCTTTTTCTTTTACAATTCATGCTGCTGTTTTATTGAGACAGTGAACAGTTCTATTTATCTTTTTTCTTCCCTGAAATAATCTGTTAAGGTATGTCTTATTCCCCTTTTAACCTGTCTAGGATTTCTTTTCTTTTTCTTTTTTCTATTTGCCTGATCAAAAATGTCCACAGAAAATCATGCTTATGTAGACTTCTGCATTAGATACCACTAAAACAAGCCCAAAGGCCTTCCCCTCAGTGGAAGACATGGCGGCTAAACAGTTTAATGCCACATTACACTCAACAACCCCCATCAACTAGTGTTAGAAAATCACCAAGACTGGTATGTCTGGTATGATCACCAGAAAAAGTCTATGCTCAGATTAGAGTTTAAAATAGGACAGGTCAGTGTCAAAGTGAAACTCAGAGGTTTCTTCATTACATAAAATGAGGAATTTGCACAAAAGCAGTACAACAGATTTACTGAAGGAGCCCTTTTTTTTGTTTCCCATCAGGATTGGAAATGATGACTAACCACACACTTTTTGAAATCTTTATTTTCAGGTTTATGTTTTGTCTTTCTTTTATTCAACCAAACACATCCAGGTAACTGTTGGTCAGACTGTTGGTGACCCAGTGGTTTACAAATGTTAAACCCAGCTAACTTGTAACTGGCTTGTATCTTATTTCCTGTATTAGATCGATATGAAAGTGAAATCAGTGTTCTAATGAATTAAACAAGTTACCTTTCTGCCACTGCTTAGTTAAAAATAGCTGAACCTTGTGCTGGCAACCTTACATCTGTTTAACTTCTACAGATTGTCACAGCCAGCCCGCGGTGCTGGAGCAGCATCACATGGACCTGGTAGGCTCAGAGTTCCAGTCTGTGCTTGATGTTAACAGCCTGCTGAAACTCAGTGCTGCTGGAGAGCACATGAAGGATGACAGAGAGGGTGAGATGTAGGGATGCACACCCAATTCCACCAGAGTTCATTCTGTAATTGTATCCAGCAGTGAAAGTCACGCATGTCTGCTTCATGGAAATTTCAGTTTTCTTCTAAGCTCAAGCTTAAGTCCTCAGCTTGACTTAAATTACCATTAAAGTTGCAAACAGACATGGACTGGTTGACCAACAGTTACAGAAACCACACACTTCAATAGCTAAAACACTTTACCAATGTGCTTTTTATTGATGTTTTTGATTCTCTCGTAGGAGATGATGACCTGATCGAAGAGCTGATGTCTGCTGATGGTAAGCATCAGAAGACTGACTTTATAATTGGGTCTGCTTTTGTTTGTGTATTTCCACAACAGGACAAAAATATGTTTGCAGCATTTAAGACACCAGTTATGCTCATCTGGTAAGGTTCTGGTCCCTTCCAGGGGAAGTGTTCTGGACATGACCCAGCAGGAGTCCTCGCAGCAGAGCCACAACTTATTTTTTCCATCTGGAAAACTGTGGCTCTCTGTTTATTCTGTTTCCCCTGTCATCTGGTTCTGATAAGGGACAGCGAAGGCATGGAAGTTTTTTTTTTTTTTCCCATTAGATTCGTTTAATCATTTTAAGTAGCTTGGATGTTTGCTCTGTCATTGACACCAATGTTCAAGTGTCAAGAAAAAGGCGAGGAAATGACACTTTTCAGCACAGGAGCTCTGGAACATTAGCTGTGACACCCACACGTTACTTCCCACCCTGAATGATGAATGATCTGCGAGACTTATGGACTGCATTGTGCTTCATGTTTGAAAGTGGTTCCCCTCTCATGAAGCCGTGCCGCCACCATGGCTGAAAATCTACTGTGTGTGTGTGTTGATGACAGAATCTGTCTGCCAAATCTCATGATTCCTTTCTCCGCCTACAGGTATCGACTACAGCTTCAATCTGGATGACAATGAGGGAGTCTGTGACCTGTTTGATGTGCAGATCCTCAATTTCTGAATGCTGACAAATGACTCTGCTGCCTGTATTGGAGTACTTGAAAGAAAAGCCTCTTGTTAAAGGCCTGTCATAATTACACAGTGAATACTGTCAAAAAACATGGTGGCCCTTCAGAAAGAAAACAAAAACAATGCTACTCTCTTGCCAATACAACAAAGTACCTGAATGTATTTACCACACGGTATTTACACACCCCAGATTCATAATGTGACCCCCAAGGATTTAGTGGTGCTGGCTTAAATCTGCAGGATGTCAGGGTGATGAGGCATCCGAGTACAGGAAGGTTAACATTAACCCTTCGGCCTCAGTCTGCACATCAGCATCTTTGTATAGTTTTTTTTCTTAAAGCTTAAACCTGACTTGGTCTCTTTGTTAAGTTTACCTGCTTTTGGGACTGTGAAAGTGCCTTTGCTGACCTGTACAGGAGCTTAGACAAAGTCAGTACTGTCTTCCTTTTTCTTTTCATTTCAGCACAGGGTTAATGAGTTGGCTCAGGTTACGTGAGCTTTCTTTGCACGAGAATCATATGAACTGATACTATAGTTAGAATTCAGAAATATTTAGAGTTTAATGCCTGAATGAATTTTTGTTACCGTGTTCTTGCGAGCTTAAAAGCTTCTTTTCTAAATTATTGCCACTGCCATGGTTGGCCATTTCCTCTTTCTTTCTTTTTATTACTGTTATTTAGATGTCTGTTTTTGTTTGCCTTTTTAAACTTAAAAAATATGGTAGATTGTTGATACAGAAGCTAAGTTGACCATCTTAATTGTATTTAAATAATTGTATTTTCTGATCTGAGAAATATTTGGAGCCCTGACATGATTTTTTGTATATTTATAATTTTTTTCTTTTTACAGGAGCACAGTTTTGTTTTTTTGGAAATAAAATTGCTTAAATCTTGACATTAAAAATCGTTTTCTGTCAAAGTAGGACTTGATTACATGTAAAGAAACTAAGAGTCTGTTTGTTTGGTAGCTGTTAAACTGAACAAATGCAGTTTCGCACACATCATCCAGCAGTCGGAAACCTGGGTATGTGTTTGTCCTCTATTTCGGTGTTTTGCTCCGTTACTGTAACAGATGGTAAAACTCAGTCAAATGCTTCCCACATGAGAGCACACAAAGCAGAGCACGAACTGCCATGTAAACCATCAAGTGATCTGTATCAGCTGCCATGCAAAAAAAAGAAAGCAGAAACCAGAAAAACAGAACTAATAGCATCTGCCAGAAGAAATAAATAGGAGTTTATGGGGGAGGGGCTCAAAGACAGTTAACAGCAATTGATTAAAAAAACTATTCTAAATAATTAGTGATCAAAATGCCAATATATCATCATAACTTTATTAAATAAAGAGGTTTCCAGCTCGCCCAGACACCGCTGTGTGTGGAGCAGGTGGACTCCAGATGTTCAGCTGAAGAATTCAGGAAGTGCCAAAAGTCATCTCCACATGACGCACGGGTCCCTGGACTAGGTCCCTTAGGATGCTTGATTTCTGTCATAGTTTATTTTACTGGACGTCAAAGTAGTGCTTATCTGACAAGTGAAAAACAGCTTTCAACAGAACAGATAAACTGCAACTTTATCAAGTCTTTATTTACAGAAAGGTGCAGGAATGTGCATCTGGTGCGCAGGCTTTACAGATGTGGAACATTGTGCATTCAATCACGCTGATTATAAACAAAATGAACATTTGATTATTTGAAGCTGTTTTTTTCAAAGGAACAACCTCTCCGACAACTTTTGCAAAGGGCAACCTGAAGTTCAAGCCCTTATCTGATTTGTACTTTTAACTTTGTGGGCAGAGAGGGGGAGTTAAATGTTTCCTGCCAAATCTCAGAGGGATACATCTTTCAACCTTGATAAAGAATGACTGAATTTTAGCTTTTGAACCAGCTGGTTCAACAGTCCATTTGAAATTAAGATTCTGTTTCAGGGGACAGAACTAAATTAAACAAAATGCCTGAATAATTTCAACATGTGTAAGTCAAAGTCAGATGGCGGTCTGATCATACCCTGATGAATGAGTTATCGTTAACTTAGAGCTGAGACTTAAAATTTTCCCATATTTTGCATCAACATTTGGACTTGTTAGATCAGGTGGATTTCATGAGCGATGGCTTAATTTAATCCTGTGTCAGTGTCGGCCACACCTGGAAAATGACCCACCGAAATGGAATGTGGATATTTTGGAACCGCAGCTATGGAAAAAGGTTTAGACGGGCATGTTCATCCTAATTTCAGGCTCACAACATTTTAAACACCTCTTCAGGATCAGAGCATAACTACGACAAATTTCCATTCAAACAGAAATGTTTTTAACAACAGGGTTAAGCTATATATATATATATATATATATATATAGACAAGCACTTGGATATATGCACTTTTCAGAGAAAAGCACTATGACAAAAAAATAGTATTGATGTGTAAATAGCTGGAAGATTAATGAATGACAAACATCTGAAAAAATACCTGATTTTCAGCTCTACTGGACTATTGATTAAAATCTGATGGTAAACTCAAATTGAGAATGTGTTTGTCTCTTGGGATGCACTGTTAAAAGACATATCAATTCCTTCCTCCTCTGCAGGAGGATCCCTTCGGTTTCTCATCCTTCTCTTCTGTCCAAACCTCTTGGCTACCTTTACCATGCGCTGCCTGAAGGAGGAGCCCACGAAGGCGTACAGGACGGGGTTGAGGCAGCAGTGCGTGAGGGCCAGGCTCTCGGTCACCTGCGCCGCCCGGTCCAGCGCTTTGCTCGTCCCACAGTGGGTCACCAGAAGATACACGAAATCCATGGCGCGGTACATCTTCACCACGTTGTACGGCAGCTGCGTGGCGACGAAGAGGCCCACGACCGCGATGAGAACCCGCAGAGCTCTCCACCTCTTGCCTCTGCTCTCCACGGGGAGGTCCTTTAAAGCTCGTCCGGCGCTGCAGTAGAAGACCGCCATGGCCAGGAGAGGGAGCAGGAAGCCCAGCAGCACCTCCGCCACCTCCAGCACGGCCTTACCGACTCGCCCCAGCGACGGAGAGTAGGAGGCCAGGCAGACGTTGCGGCCGGACGTGGACCTCACCACCTCGGAGAGCGCCAGATCCGGAACGCCGAGGAGGAGGGCCGTGGCCCAAACGGCCGAGCACACCTTCCAGCAGTTCCCCCTGGCGAACGCCCTCTGGAGCCGCCGGCCGACGCCGGCGCCGGCGCCGCCCCGGGCCCGGGCCAGCGCCAGGTAACGGTCCAGGCTGATGCACGCCAGCAGCAGCATGCAGCAGTTGAAGTTCACGGCGTAGCAGGCCGACACCAGCTTGCAGAGGGGCTCGCCCAGCTCCCAGCCCCGGGCGGCGGCGGCGGCCCAGAAGGGCAGCGTGAGGAGAAGCAGCAGGTCGGCCACGGCCAGGTGGGTCAGGAAGGCGTCCGTCATGGTCTTGAGGCGTTTGTGGTAGGCGTAGAGGGCCACCACCACCGCATTTCCAGCCAGTCCCACCACCAGGCACAGGCCGTAGACGGTCGGGAGGAAGACGCCGGCGAAGGAGCGGACCTCCTCCTTCTCGCACAGGGTGGGATAGTCATCGTAGCTGACACTGATGTTTTCACCGTAGTAGCCGTCTTCCTCTAAAACATCCATAGTGGCTGGATGAAGCTAGAAGGAATCACAGTCAGGATTAG